AGGACACACACACACACTCATGCATATGCATTAACACAGAGAAAAAGACACTTTGAGGTATTTATACAAGCATCTGCCATGAGCGGCACTGTTTCTTCTATACCCCATGACCCTGTTCCCCTATGAACCCCCGCAGGAAAAAGGTCACAAACCAGGTATAACTGGTGATCATAGAAGGACCAATATGAGAATTAGCGCATGGAGTAACGAAATCTAACAACGGAGTATCATTAGCACTTCACATTAGCCACCTAAGATGACCGACAGGACTGAACACTGAACTAAACATTCCAAGTGCTGGCTTCTTGTCCAGGTTTTGCCACTCACTAGCCCGTGATTTAGCCCTGTTGGGCCTTACTTTCCTTCCTTGAAAAATAACAGTTCAAGGAAGGATTTGATGTGGATACTTCTAGCTCTATAATTCTATAGATTCCATAATTCTTTCTCTTTCTTTCAAGTTTTTTTTTTAATAGTGGAAACTTCCAAACATACATAAAAGTAGAGAGAACAGTACAACAGACCCACATGTACCCATCATCCACTTTCTACAATTGTTTTTTTCTGCTTCACTGAAGTATGATTGACAAATAAAAACAGTATGTACTTCGGTCGTACCACATAATTGTTTTTATGCAATGATTTAATATGCGGATACACTGTGAAATGATTACAACAGTCAAATTAACATATCCATTATCTCACGTAGTGTACTGTAAGTGCCTGACATTCAACTTTTGATTGACTAGGCCTCCATTTCAAAAGACATCCATCATGAATAAGCATATTGCCACTGGTATGACACAGCTACTAGAAAAACAACCAGACAGGGAACTAGGCCACCCCACCCGCGAAGGTATCTTTCAGAAAGCCTTGGGTAACTCAGATAACTGACTCCTTGTGTGACCGACTTCTTCCTTTCCAAGCCCTAATTCTGGCTTTTATGCCTTACATTAGCCAATAAAGAGAGAACATGCAAAACTGTTGGCACCCCACCCTTGGACTCTAACAAAGGCAGGGCCCCAGGTCTGCTCCACCTGCCATGTACCCTCCAGAAACCGTAGGTAATAAATCTTGCTCCTCAAAGTTCCCTCATGGTTTCTTCCTGAAGTGCATTCTGCAATCACAGTAAGAACCACAAGAGCCAGCCCAGCCATGAGTAAGGGCCCCCATGGAGGAAATGTCTGGGAAGCGCCCTACCAGTATCCCGGGAAAGCACAGCAGACATGCCTAATTGAGATCACTGCCATCAGGAGGCTTGGGATGGAGGGACTAACTACCTTTTTTCTTTTTTTGTGATGGTGAGAACACTAAGATCTATAAATTTCTATTACACAATATAGTATTAGTAACTATAACCATCATGTTATATATCAGATCCCCAGAACTTATTCCTTTGACCAACATCTCCCCATTTCTCCCATCCCTCAAATCCTGGCACCGCTCTGATTCTATTAGTTTGTCGACTATTTTTTTTAATTCCACATATAATTGAGATCATACAGTTGCTTGTCTTCCTGTGTCTGGCTTATTTCACTCCACATAATATCCTCCAGGTTTATCCATGCTGTTGAAAATGGCAGGATTTCCTTCTTTTTTTATAGCTGAGTAATATTGCATAGTGTCTGCATATTTGTGTGTGTGTGTGTGTGTGTGTGTGTGTGTATACATTTTCTTTATTCAACCATTAACAGACACTTAAGTTGTTTCTGTATCTCGGAATGATCCATATACCGTGAAAAACACTACAAGGAATATGGGTGTACAGATCTCTCTCTGGGATACTGATTTCATTTCCTTTAGCTACAGATCAAGAAGTGGGATTATCGGGTCATATGCAAGTTCTATTTTTATTTTTTGAGGAGCTTCCATATTGTTTTCCATAATGGTTGTACCAATAGTGCGTGAGTTCCCTTTTCCCCACACCCTTGCCAATACTTGTTATTTTTTTTGTCTTTTTAATAACAGTCATCAGAACAGGTGTGAAGTGAGTCTCATGTTCCTGCTAGCTATCTGTATGTCTTCTTTGGAAATATTTGCCCATTTTTAAATCAGACTATTAGGGTTTTTTTGTTTGTTTGTTTTTTGTTGTTTTTTTTTTGCTAGTGAGGTATATGAGTTCCTTATATATTTTGGGTCAGATAGATGGTTTACAAATATTTTCTCCCTTTCCATAGGTTGTCTTTTCATTTTGTTGATTGTTTGTTTTGCAGAAGATTTTTAGTTTAACACAGTCCCAATATTTATTTCTGCTTTTATTACCTGTTCTTTGGTGTCATGTTCAAAAAATCACTGTCCAGTCCAGTGTCGAGGAGCTTTTCCCCTATGTTTTCTTCTAGGAGGTTTTTGATTTCCAGTCCTAAATTTAAGTATTTAATCCATTTTGAATTAATTTTACACATATTTCTGTTTATTCTCTTGCATGTGGATATTTAGTTTTCCTAACACCATTTACTGAAGATAATATCTCTTTCTCCATTGTGTATTCTTGGAGCCCCCATCAAAGATTAATTGGCTCTATAAATGTGTATTTATTTCTGGGCTCTTTGTTCTGTTTCACAGGTTTATTTTTATGCCAGTGCTATACTGTTTTGATTACAGCTTTGCAAGATAGTTTGAAATCAGGAAGTGTGGTGCCTTCAGCTTTTTTCTTCTTTCTCAAGATTATATTGGCTATTTGATGACTTTAATGATTCCATATGAGTTTTGGGATTCTTTTCTATTTCTCTGAAAAATGCCACAACTGGAATTTTGGTGGGAATTCATACAGGGGTCGCACTGAATCTATAGATCTATAACTCTAAATGGAAGATAATTAGGGCAGTAAACAAGGTAGTGGAGGGGGCAGTAGAACTCTCGAGTAGCTGAAGTATGGAAATATGCTTCTAAGATGGCTTGCCAAGGGCCTGAGCACTGACGGTGGAAGCTGTGAGCAGAAAGGAGTAGAGAGTTTTCTGAGATGAGGGTAATCTTACATGGGATGCCTTAAAGAGGAGATATAGGAAGTCTGGCCAGTGACATTACCTAACCATAAACAATTTAAGTGCAATAAATGTGTTTTAAGTACAGGTATATTTTTTTCCTAAATGCTAATAAAGAGGCATGTACACAGCAGGTACTCAAAAATGACTAAATTAAGTGAAACTGGGGGGAAAAAAGGAGATTCAATTCTGTTCTCAAGAGCTGGTATCTGATGTTAAAATCAATTTAAAGTTAACTCAGGATTTCGGAACCAGAACTAAGATTTCAGGGAAGCTGACTACAGTTCTACATGTGAGAAGTAAGAGGAGAGATCAAGAACTGGGGAGTTGCAGGGCGCCTGGGTGGCTTTCAGTTACGTGTCCAACTCTGTATTTTGGGTCAGGTCATGATCTCATGGGTTTTGAGATTAAGCTGGGCATCTGCGCAGAATGTGGAGTATGTGGAGCCTGCTTAACTTTCTCTCTCCTTCTTCACTCCCCACCCCCACCGGCTTGTGCTCTGGGAGCACTCTTTCTCTCAAAAAAAAAAAAAAAAAAAAAGAATCAGGGAATTGAGATGTTCCCAGTGAGGTGACACACAGAGTCACCTAAGTTGAAGGCGGACACTTAACTGACTGAGCCTTAAAATTCTTATATTAAAATCCTGACTGCCATGACGGTACTGGGAGATAGGACCTTTGAGAGTTAATCAGGATTAAATAATAAGGATGGGGCCCTCATGATGGGATTACTGGCCTTGTAAAGAGAGAGATCAGAGAGCATCCTGGAGCATGTGAAATCATTCTCTCTCTGTCTCAGTCATAGGAAGACTCAAAGAGAACGAGCCCATCTGCAAGCCAGGAGGAGGGCTCTCCCCAGAACCTAACCATGCTGAAACCCTAATGTTGGCCTGTAGTCTCCAGGCTATAAGAAAATAAATTCATATTAATCAAGCTACCTAATTTAAGTTTCTGTCACAGCAATGATAAAAAGCAAAATATAAATACCAAATTATTTTTAAATTCCAGTATTTTTTTAACAGGTTTTGTTCTAAAGAATGGTTTTAGATTTATAGAAAATTTGAACAGGTTAGTACAGAGAGTTTCCATATCACCTGTTCCTCCCCACACATGGTTTCCACTATCAGATGCTCAGTAAGATGCTCATACCATAGGATAGGCATACCAGAACCAGGAGCAAACCAGAGCCACAGCCACCTCTCTTCCACCTCAAATTAACTAACGGTCATGCTTAGGACAAAAGGCCCTTGAATGGAAGGCCTACAGAGAAGTGAAGTTATAGATTTCTTTTTTAGAAGAGTGAGCATGATGAATTTTTATACATTAGAAGAGGTAATTTGCAGCCACCTAGTGCTACTTTCTCCATTTAAAGGCCTCCAGGAGTCTACCAATGCAGTCATGGCTCTCTCCCCAGCTCCGAGGTTCCTCTAGGTCTGGCCTTGCCCAGCACCAGGAGACCTACTGAATCTCTCTCCCTGCTGTGCTATATCTTCTGCCTGTTACACCTCTGCACAGACCCTAGCCCCCAGATCCAAATTCTACTCAATTGTTGGAACCCATCCACTCCACAAAGTCTTTTCAAACCTATACTGTGTTCCTTCCTTCGTTTACTCCTCAAATAGCCACATGATCAGTAGGTCAGAGTGGATCACTTAATCATTCTCTAAATGTTCGCGTATGAGCCTCTTTAGAATAAGGACCATGGATCATATTTTTTCTCCACCAATCCTCTTAAGTACAGCCCTGGAAATACAGTGTTTGATCAATAAATATATTGGATTACTAGTCAGTCCACAGACAGGGCAAGTTTTAGACAACTGTTTGATCTACTCAATTTTTTAGAGAAACTACCTGCAGAAAATGAAAAGGGCTCTAAAAATCCTAAAACTATCAAAACATGGCAGCATGGGCCCAATGCCACAAGCAGAGGTTTCCAGTGGTATAACTCTTAACCCTAGCTGAATTTCTAGACATATGAACACCCACTCGCTAGAGAGGAAAACGGATGTTAATCAAGACATACCGTCTGAAGTTCTAAGAATCTTCTTGCCTTTGGGGACGAAAGCATGCCCAGCATGACTGATAACCCAAACTGGAAAGCGTCCGTTTATTGAGGAGTACAAAGCCTTTGCAAATGGCACATAAAAGGCAGAAAAACCTGGATTACCTAAGAAAAGAAACACAGAGTTAGTTTAGTTAACTAAAGCAACACAGAGTTTTAGTTTAGTTAACTAAAGCAATAAACTCACTTAAGATATGCAGACTGGAAAAGAAGGATCTATTTGACCTCACTCTTTTTTCTACAAATCTACTAATATTTATACATACACTTCAATTTTAATAGCCTTTTTACCTTAAATCTGGGAACGATCACTCAGAAAATTTCTGCTCCTGCTTTGTTCCCCAACGGTTTGAAGATAAATTCTTCCTCCCTATTCCTCAGCTTAGTAAATGGAACCACCACTCCTAAACCAAATAAATACTCAAGTCCTAACACCAGAAGTCACTCTTGGTTTATCCCTCTTTTTCACAACCAATTCACCAAGTAGTCCTGTTAACTTTGTTTCCAAAATAGATCTCACGTCTTATGCATCTTATGTCTCTCCCTTAGTGTTATCACTGAGTTTCCTGCAGCAGCCTCCTCATGGGACTTCTATCTACTCCTGCCCCCTGGGAGCCCATTGTGCAGGGTACCCAGAGAGATACCTTCAAACTTCAAATCAACTCATAGCAGTATCCTATTTACACCCCTCTCAGTGGCTTCCCATTATCATCCTAGTAGTCCAAGGTCATTAATCCTGTCTTGAAAGGCCTTCATGATTTTACTGTGCTCAGTTAGCAAGTTGCATGAAAACAAATCAGTGTAAGAATCATTCACAAAGAGTACTTTGAGGAGTCTACTGAGGTTTCCTTGTCATTTATCACGAGGACTTAGATTATAAGCAGATGTACAGTTTGACCTTTTGGGAAAAAGACCACCAACTAATACATACAGACTTTTCTTGTGTATACACAGAAGGTATTTTTGACATAGGTTTGCTATAGAGAAATAGAATGAATAATGACCTTTTAGAAAAAGAGTCAATCTGATACATCTTTAGGGGGAAAAGACAGTGAGATGGGGTTTTCATCTTGCAATCATCATTTGTATAATGCTTTCACAGATACTGGTCCATTTCCATCAATGCCAATTTTCCAATCAATTTATTATTTCTTTATCCTATTAGGTTTTCTCCTCTTTGTAATTCCATGACACAGTTTTGCTGCACTGATAAAACTTCTGCCACCCTTGTTGAAAAACATGGATTTATTTCTTCATGACCTGCCTCTGTGAGTTTCCTAGACAGGCCAAGAAGCAAAGTGGTGGAGGGCATAGACTCTGGAGCCTGACTGTGTGAGGCGGAATCCTGGCTTTGCTATTTACCAAATGTGTGACCTTCGGAAAGTTATCTAACCTCTCTGGGCCTCAGCATCTTCATCCACAAGATGAGGATAATAATCGACTACATCATGTGAGAACTAAGTGAACTGATGTATACAAAGAACTTAAACACCGCTTGATACACAAGTGCTGCAGAAATGCTAGCTACTGACTTACCATGTCTAGCCATGATATGTAATACATGGTCTTAGCACTCTTACTGCTATTTTGCTTCTGTTGCATTCTCACCTACTGACCCAAGTTCCAAATATCTTTTTGTTACTGTACTAGCGTCATCTTTGTTAAATAGCATAGAAACTTCCTCAAAGGCAGCAGTATGCTCTCTGATCAACTGAGTGGTCACAGGGCAGCTTGAGGAGGAGGAGAAGATGAGGGGTGTGTAGCACCGGGCTGCAACATCTGTGGTGGACGGGGGACTGCATTGCTGCATGTGTTGTATCTAAATCTTCAGTAAGTTTGAAATATTTTTGAGAATAAAGTACAAAGTAGCAATCCAACTTCTTTGAAGTGATTAGCAAAGTGTCCCAAGACCATTTATAATATAATCCACTCCTTCTGCATTGATTTGAAATGTCTTTTACATTAGCTTGCTAATTCTAATTCCAAATTCTATTCCAATTCTAATTCTAATTCCAAATAATTCCATTTATTTTTTTCCTTTTTTCCTCTGCCTGTGCCACACGGTCTTGATTACTACCTCAGTATTTATTTATTCATATTTAATTAACTTATTTATTTATATTTATTCTATTTATATTTTAATGTTTCAGTAACTGGCAGGGCAAATCCCTTCTCTTAATCCACCCCCCCCCCCGCCTAAATTTTCTAGGCTGATCTCATAGACTTTAGAATTATTTTCACCAGCTTCAATTTTTAAAAATCTTTTCGGAATTCTGACTGAAATTTCATCTCATTTATACATTAATTGAGAAAGATTTGATTTTTTTACATTACTGATTATAATCTTCTAGGAATGCATCATGTCTTACTCAAATGTTTTGTCTCTCAGCAAAGTTTTATAGTGGTTTTCATACAGCTAGAAAATAAGTCCACATTTTATTTAAAAAAATTATTTATCTATTTATTTGAGAGAAGGGGAGAGAGAGAGAGAGAGAGCAAGCAGAGGAGGGGGAGAGGGGAAGGAGAGAAAGTCTGAAGAAGATTCCGTGCTAGGCGCGGATCCTGACGCAGGGCTCAATCTTATTACCCTGAGATCATGAACTGAGCTGAAATCACAAGTAGGATGCTCAACCACCTGAGCCACCCAGGTGCCCCTAGTCCACATTTTAAAGTTTTGTACCTTATTACATTCCAGGCAGCATTTAAGTGTTTTGCATGTACTAACTCATTTAGTCCTTCCATAAGGTAGTACTATTCCTATTTCCATTGTAAGGATAAGGAAACTGAGGCACAAGGAGGTTAAACAGCTTGCCCAAGACCACACAGATGATAAGTGCTCAATAAATATTTGATGGCTACAAGAAGATACAAACGAAAATAGTAATAATGAATTTTAAAAAGAGCATAAATTACCTGGCTTAGGATCTTCTGTATAACTTGTTGTAGTTAATCTTACAAAGGCCCACAAAGTACCTGGCATTATCATTAGGGTTAATGCTTGGCAATCACTTGCATGATATCTGACACACGGTACGTGCTGAATAAATGGTAGCTATTATTGCTAGTGTTATTATTATATATTTTTAAAAAATTAGTTTTATTAACATATAATGTATTATTTGCCCGAAGGGTACAGGTCTGTGAATCATCAGGCTTACACATTTCACAGCACTCACCATAGCACATACCCTCCCCAATGTCCATAACCCAACCACCCTCTCCCTACCCACTTCCCCCTGGCAACCCTCAGTTTGTTTTGTGAGATTAAGAGTCTCTTATGGTTTGTCTCCCTCCTTACCCCATCTTGCTTCATTTTTGCCTTCCCTAACCCCCACAACCCCCCACCTTGATCAGAGAGATCATATGATAATTGTCTTTCTCTGATTGACTTATTTCACTCCATAATACCCTCTAGTTCCATCCACATCACTGCAAATGGCAAGATTTCATTTCTTTTGATGGCTGCATAGTAGTCCATTGTATATATATACCTATATATATATATCTTCTTTATCCATTCATCTGTTGATGGACATCTAGGTTCTTTCCATAGTTTGGCTATTGTGGACATTGCTGCTATAAACATTCAGGTGCACATGCCCCTTCGGATCACTACATTTGTATCTTTAAGGTAAATACCAGTAGTGAGATTGCTGGATTGTAGGGTATCTCTATTTTCAACTTTTTGAGGAACCTCCATACTGTTTTCCAGAGTGGCTGCACCAGTTTGCATTCCCACCAACAGTGTAGGAGGGTTCCCCTTTCTCTGCATCCTCACCAACACCTGTCATTTCCTGACTTGTTAATTTTAGCCATTCTGACTGGTGTGAGGTGGTATCTCATAGTGGTTTTGATTTGTATTTCCCTGAGGTCGAGTGATGTTGAGCACTTCATGTGTCTGTTGGTCATTTGGATGTCTTCTTTGGAGAAATGTCTGTTCATGTCTTCTCATTTCTTGATTGGATTATTTGTTCTTTGGGTATTGGGTTTGATAAGTTCTTTATAGATTTTGGATACTTGCCCTTTATCTGATATGTCATTTGAAAATATCTTCTCCCATTCTGTCCACTGTCTTTTGGTTTTGTCGACTGTTTCCTTTGCTGTGCAAAAGCTTTTGATCTTGATAAAGTCCCAATAGTTCATTTTTGCCCTTGCTTCCCTTGCCTTTGGCGATATTTCTAGGAAGAAGTTGCTGCGGCTGAGGTTGAAGAGGTTGCAGCCTGTGTTCTCCTCAAGGATTTTGATGGATTCCTGTCTCACATTGAGGTCGTTCATCCATTTTGAGTCTATTTTTTTGTGTGGTGTAATGAAATGGTCCAGTTTCATTTTTATGCATGTGGCTGTCCAATTTTCTTAACACCATTTGTTGAAGAGACTGTCTTTTTCCACTGAACATTCTTTCCCGCTTTGTCAAAGATGAGTTGACCACGGAGTTGAGGGTCTATTTCTGGGCTCTCTATTCTGTTCCACTGATTTATGTGTCTATATGTGCCAGTACCATACTGTCTTGATGATGACTGCTTTGTAATAGAGTTTGAAGTCTGGAATTGTGATGCCACTAACTTTGGCTTTCTTTTTCAACATTCCCCTGGCTATTCGGGGTCTTTTCTGGTTCCATATAAATTTTAGGATTATTTGTTCCATTTCTTGGGAAAACATTGATGGTATTTTGGTAGGGATTGCATTAAATGTATAGATTGCTTTAGGTAGCATAGACATTTTCACAATATTTCTTCTTCCAATCCATGAGCATGGCATTTTTTCCACTTCTTTGTGTATTCCTGAATTTCTTTCATGAGTACTTTATAGTTTTCTGAGTACAGATTCTTTGCCTCTTTGGTTAGGTTTATTCCTAGGTATCTTATGGTTTGGGATGCAATTGTAAATGGGATTGATTCCTTAATTTCTCTTTCTTCTGTCTTGCTGTTGGTGTATGGAAATGCAACAGATTTCTGTGCATTGATTTTATATCCTGACACTTTACTAAATTCCTGTACAAGTTCTAGCAGATTTGGGGTGGAGTCTTTTGGGTTTTCAATAAAGTATCATATCATCAGCAAAGAGTGAGAGTTTGACTCCTCAACTTGTTTGTTGGGAGATTTTTG